ACACAATTCGAGCCACCAAGCAATTGCAGTGTTAAGTGCCCTAAGCTTAAACAATGTTCGATTGATCAAAAACTATTATGCAATTCTGAAACTAGTATACTAAACGTCTTTTCCATAAGTCCTTGTTGGGAATTTGGATTTGCAAAACCGGGGGAAAACTTTTGCTTCGATGATAATATTATTTTTGTATTCTAGCCCTTTTGGCTCGAATTATGTGACCGGGAGTATATAATAATTTATTGAATATCCTACAATAATCGTTGTTTTGAATTGCTTCACTTGAACATTACGTTAGATTAATCAAAAGCAGTACAGTTTGCCAATAAACACATAAATTAATTAAATGCATTAATATAAGGATAAAATTATCAAAGAATAACTTTCGATATGTGTACAAAAACACTCCAATTTGATTAGGCCATTGACGATGACGGAACAAAAGCAGCTGAGTCGGGGGGTGCGGACCCCCTTAGCGTTGCGGAAATATGATTTTTTGCTCAACAAGCTCTTATTATCGGAATAAACATTTTCCGATTGGTTTCAATATTATTGGAAAAATGTAATAATTTTTTGAGTGACTTCCAAGTGCTTCTTCCGATTGGCATCACGTAAATTTGACTTGCTTAATAAAAATCAAGGATAATGTTGTTTTCCGAAGATATGAAAGACGACTCATTTTTATGCAAATTTTATTAAATCCTTCGTTGTTTATTTTTTGACATTTCTTGTATATAATCAATCAATAGCAGTCCACAACGAGAGCTGTATGACGAGATCCTAGTGACGAGATAATACCAAGTGACGGGATGAACAAGCCGTGCGCCTGATGGTAAGCGACACGTCTATCCATAACAGTTGCAGTGCCACTCAGAGCTTTAAATCACAAAGATCCTGGACAGGCGTGCAGTTTACCACCAGGAACACAAATTGTTTGCCCCGTCACTTGATTTAAAGAAAAGTAAGCAAATTAAACTTGAAATCGTCATGTTGATTAAACTCTACTGCTTATTCGCAAGGCAGATTCCTCTGAGAAGAATAAGCAAGAAAGCCTAGAAGTTGCTGTTTGCAAATACAGACATTTCCGCACGTTTATTATTTACAATATTTATTTCAAACATCATAAATCGAGACTCAAGTAGTCTTCTCTAGTCTAGTCTAGTCTCAAGAGCGAAAAGGGTCAATACCATGGATTTTTGTCATCAAAGTACACAGAAGCTGTACAATATATATAATAATCTTTAGAATAAAGTTTTAGTTTCGCTTTAGTTTTAACCCTCGTGAATAGAACATTTTAAATATCAAACGGAATCTTATTATAGCATCGTGGCATTGCTCCCTACATTAATTTGTGACTTTATGAAGACACTTCAATACAACCTTTGTTTCTATAAATCAATGTGTTATGAATTATGAATTATTCGCAAAATAAAATGTCCCTAAGTAGTACCTTGAGTATCAAATATCGAGATATCCCGATCTGTTTTATCGAAACATCGGGAAATTAAAAGACACTTAAGTGCTTCTTTGTTTCCCTTGAGAAAGCATTTTCTCGAGCACTCGTGTTAATAATACCATATTTGATCCTAATATTACATCAGTCTAAGCTTTTAATTTTTTTTACAATATCAAGTGACGGGACAAATAAGTCGTATGTCTAGTGTTAAAATTGCAGGTCCATTTAAAGTATAAATCACACAAAGATCTGAGGGACCCTAAGTCCTAAGTCACCCTAAGACATATATGAATAAGTCCCATGTGTCTGTAATTACACCAAGCTGAAGGAGCTAAAGACCAGCCCATATAACAAAAGTCATATTAGAAGATGACTATCATATCCATGGGGATAACAGAGTGCGTCATTTATATGTACATATATGTATTAAAGAAAGAGAAGTAGCCCTAGTTTACATCATTACACCAAGTCGACTTTTCATTGTTCGCAATATTCTTCAAAGACATCCTATATCACATTCGATCAGTTTTCAAAGGAGAACGGTCGAATTTGCCCCAGTCCAGGCTTCATTTGGACTCTCAGAATTTTATCATTCAATATGTTTATTTATATAATACATTTTTTTTGTAACGCACATACTCAACATAGCCCCGTACTAGGGAAACCAAGTGTCGCCGTTGCCATGGACACACACATAGACAAACACAAATTACACCCAAACTCACGATATAAATAAATGTAGGCCATACAAATATTTTTCCCGGCCCGGGAATCGGACCTGGGACCATCAGTCATGATCAGTCAGGCATGGTAACCATTCAGCCACAGACACAGTCAATTTGTATTTTATTGAATATCGTGATATTTTTACTACCTTGAATTTTATTTGGGAAAATACTCCACTAGTGTAGTTGTTATTATGGAAATATTAAAAAAAGATCGAACAAACACACAAACACAAAGAAATATTGGCTGGTTTCGTTTGCCTCTAGCCAAATCTTTGCTTATTTGATTTACACGGAGTTTTTCCGTAGCGCCACTTGTGAGAAACCTATGTAAGATTTTCTTCACAATCTTTGTATGAATAATAATCACAAAATTTAACATAGTTTAGTTTTAGGTATCAGTGGCTAACATGTCAATATTGCCTTTTGATTATACTCAAGCGCAAAAGTAAAGTATGTTCAAGCATAAACAAAAGCCTACCACAGTTTTTGTACTCTACTGTTCAATAAGAACGTATAAAGTGACCAAGCAGCATAGAAATAGTACTTATGTCAAAAAGAGGAAAGTAGAAAAACATTAGTTAGATTCATTGGCTTACAATTATATGGACGTCGGGTCCGCGCTAAAAAGTGTCCGAACTTATAGGGTGTTAAAATCGTATACAGAGCGTCATTCACGGTTTAGTCTTCGTTTGTTCGACTGACAGCGAAGCAAGCGAAATTAGACAGTACTGCGATGACATTACAATTTAAATTCAACGTTTTAGCTTTTTCATATTCCTTTACATGTCACTACGTTTAAATAGGTTGACTTGGGACATTTTTTTCGTGGTTTTTGTATTAGACCCGTCGTCCATTTATTTGTAAGTCAATGGTTAGATTTAATATATTTTTTTGATTTTGCAATATATTCACTAAAATTAGTTCTCAACGTTTATGGGCCGTCACCCTTCTCCTTTCAACCTACAATCGCCAGAGGATACCCTCTCGGAAATAATGTCCGTTCCATCTCAATGTCTCTAGAGCATTCGCAGCACAATTCTATATAAACTTATAGAAGGAAACAACCAATATACGTCGATCTCTGCACTTACAAATATACAAACGCATCATAACTCTACTCCACATTACCACAAAAGTAATCTCATGGTATCTTCCGATCGATCACATTTGTGCGTATACTCCAGCCATCAACTACTATATAATCAATTTTTTTACCATGGTGATAATTTCACAAGATAGCTGTCAGGTTAGTTCGCAAAAGAATCAACAGATGCCGCTTTCAAGTTGACGTTATCCGTTTAGCTCGCAAAAGCCAATAGATGGCGTTGTCAAGAAAAGCAATGTGTACCCCGAGGAAAAGATTGCGTGATCCTATGGTATCAACCCAAGAAAGTAACAAACAAAATGTTGGTGTCTAAAACTGCTAATGACTAGTTCATTACCGCGAGTGTCTCGGAGAGACACAAAGAACATTATAAGACAAAAGCAGATACCACGGATTCTGTTTTCGTAACTATTGTTTCTCGACCTTAATTTTCTCTTTGCCCAGTAGGTTTATACGTATAAACCAATTTCCAAAACTAGGAAATTCTCATCACAAAAAACGTAAATTGAGTTCCCTGAAAATTATTTACAAATGAAACGTAGATATACCTATATCGAATCAGTCAAGAGGCGTTAAGGGACATTCAGTCAAGAGATTGGTCTTCCTACGCGGCACCTCCAGCAGTTACGGTGACGGCGCCCCACGTACCTATCAGGAACGCACAAACCCAATTACTCCCAGTAGCATTAAATTGTATACAATATCTCTGAATACTTTCAACAAAAACACTGCTAACACTAATTTTCTGCGCACTTCCTGTTTCCTGTACGTCTGGCGCTCCCTGGGCAACAACCGGCGAGTACCATACGCAATCTCAAAATCAAATTAATAAATTTTTATTTAATTGGTAAGCAAATTACACTTGAAACCGTCACATTGATTAAACTCTACTTGGGAAATGAAACTATTTTTCCGGATTTAAATCGCGTATATTTGTTTTTTCAAACAAACCGACGTTTCGGGCCCTTTACAGGTCCCATGGTCACGGTTGACTCAACCGTGACTCAATCCGGAAAAATAGTTTCATTTCCTATGTGTAACAATCGCGAAAACCTAAGAACTCGATATAAACTCTACTTCTCATTCGCAAGACAGATTCCCCTGAGAAGAATGAGTAAAAACCCTAGAGGTTGCTTATTGTAAATGTATAATTGTGCAATATTTACCTACTTAAAACATTATAGATCGGGATTACTAGCAAAAAACCACAGATTTTTGTCATCCAACTATGCAGAAAAAAAAAATTATAATTTAGTATAGAGTTTTTGTTTTACTATATTACGCTGATTGGCAAATCGTTCACCGTGATGGTAAACAACATAGTGTATACCATCGATACGATAAGAAGAAGGGGGTAGAAGGAATAAACGCCGTTTTACCCCAAGCACAGGTATCTCACGGATTTATTTTGAATACGTTCCAGCATGAGATTATACCACATTTGGTGCGCAGCAAAAACTAATGCATTTCACTCCTGGAGGCTTCTTACAAAGGCAATTACTTTATTTATTTATTTACCTATTTCTACCGCCAAGCCGTAATGTGAGCATTACTGCCTTCCTGTCTTGAAGGGTAAGGGTGCTGATGAAATTACAGACTCTTGGGACTTGTCAACTTATGTCTCTTATGTCTTATGTCACTTGGTATCATAAAAAATCAAAAAGCAACTTGAACAGGTCTGATTTAATAAAAAAAACCTACCCTCTAAAAAAACATTTTCACAGTTCATCGTGCCACTTTGAGTCAGGGAAGAACTCATTCTTCAATTCATCCCAAAACTTAACTCTCTTTTCTTCAGGTACATTCACCATCTTCACTTTCTTGCCCATATTCAAAGCTTTAAGGTTTTTGCCAGGTTTCAATGGATCCCAGTGAATATTCTCTAATACGTCATCGTTTGTTGTCGGTGTTGGGTTTCTGAAAACACAACATCATTTATCAAAACTTGAAAGCTTTATTACAAACACGTAGTTTATTTTTGGAAATAAACCTTTCCAAAAGAACGGCTAATATCTACAATACAAGACTTGTGCTCGAGTATCCTATACTCGTAATAACGACGACTTTATCTACTGTATCCAGAAAGTTAGTAGCAGTAGAGCTCCTTATGAAAGAGTTCATCCAGGTAAGTACTGCCACCTTACCTATTTCTGCAGCCAAGCAGTAATGTAAGCATTACTGTGTTCCTGTTTTGAAGGGTAAGGCAGCTGGTGACAATACAGGCACATGGGACTTGTCAACTTATGTCTCAGAATGACGGGCGCACTGGTAGTGCCCCTCAGATCATTGTTATGGACAGGCTTGTAGCTTTCCATCAGGCGCACGACTTGTTCGTCCCGTCACTTGATGTTATATAAAAAAAGAAAGACCGTTATAAACTTGTAAATCTTTTTACAATGACTAAAAATTAACTTATCAGATTTCTTGCAAAAAATTGAACTAATTTTTAAGCGACTTCAAAAAAATGAGGAGGTTCTCAACTCGGCCGTATTTTTTTTTTGTATATATTTTACGCGATAACTCCAGTATTTGTGAACCGATTTTCATGATTCTGTTTTTGTTGGAAAGAGGGTACCTCCATAGTGGTCTCATTTCATTTTGAAGAAAATCATCCACCTCTAAGGGTGGCTGATCACGCATGAACATTCATTTTTATAAATAGCGCCTAAATTTTACTTAAGGAACAATTAATTTAATGGTTGGTTTTGCTATTCTCCATTTCAAGGCGTTTTTCTCTCTCAATATATTTTGAGTAGTGAGAACCGATTTTTATTATCTCCTGTGTCAAGTCCCGTATAATGGCGAACTAGGGGATATTTCAATAAAACTTAAGCAAATAGACGTAATTCCACGTACTTTTGAGATCGGTTTGTTTTAGTACTCTGTACTGAGATTATATAAGTTAATTTTTAGGTGTGAACGTCGTAACGTATAGAATCACAAGCAAGGTACCTACTTTCCACTTCACCTAGCGTTTACACAAACAATTATTTAAAGGAACATAAGCCTTTCCTGTCACTTAAAAATTACAAGTATTTGAGCATTGTACCCGCATTTAGCGAAATTCGCCCATAACCTCGCAATTTTCTTAATGAACTGTCTTTCATTCGACGCCTCAACACTTCTGTAGACCTCGTTTACTGATTTACATTTGAATAGATAGCAGATTTCGTCTCCAGTCGTGGCGCCCGAATAATTTAGACGGAGGGAATCCCATCCAATGTTCAAGGATCCTTTAAAAGCAAACCGGTACAAGTAAATATTGCTACAAGACGCCGAAGCGTGAAGTTTGGCCTGTCGCAGCAATGGGTAGATAACTTGATCAGAAACATATCTCGCATATCGGCGAAGACTCCCATCTCCAATTGTTCCATTAACAAAATAAAAATCCAATATCTTCCTCTGTATCTTCCTATATCTTTTATCTCCGTACTCGTCTGGCGGTCCCTCGAATGGCAACAAGTATTGGAAGTTATAATTGAGATACTTTAGGAGCTTTTTGTTGTTAACAAAACCCTTCAATTTGAGAAGGGCCTCCAAACTTGTATATCCGATCATTACGTCAACGTCGTTGTTCGCCATGCCTCGTTTGTAAACTTCAATCGGAGCTTTACTTATGAACGCTTGTTTTTGAGATATTTCTATTGATGGAGCGAATGAGTTTATCAGTCTTTGGCGATTCCTTACTTCTGTACTATCGAATAAATCTTCAGACAAGTCTTGCAGATCTTTTAACGAGACGTTTTCGAGTAATTCGTACAACCTCCAACGGTTCAACTTATTAAACGGCCCGTTTAGTCTCCAGTAAATTTTATTGAGTAACTCGGAACTGTATTGCCCAAAATCAGCCGGCGATAATGCACTTCCACTCTGTACAATAACCCTATTGAACAAATCCTCTGCGGACGAAGACAGTAGACTAGCAGCTACAATCGTTGCAGCATTACCGGAGCCTGCCAACGTAACTTTATTGACATCACCATTGAAAAGCGTAATATTGTTCCTTATCCATTTAAGAGCCATAAGGACGTCTTTGGCTCCCATATTTCCTGGAGCATAGTCATCACCTGTATTCAAAAACCCAAGAATCCCAGTTCTATAAGATACTGCTACGACCAAAACATCTTCGTCTATTAAAAAATCAGGTTCATGAAAATTTGATTCTTCATGTATCCAAACTAAGATAGAGTAATAATCTTTTCTATTATCCTGTATAGGCATATATATAGAAAGATATAAACAGTCTTCAGTGAGTTTTGAAGAGCACGTGTCGTTATGAGGTCTGCTATAATCGTATGTGAAATCGTCTAGCCATGATGGATGTAATTTTGATTCCTGGAAAGGAAATATTGTAGTATTACAATTTGTAAATAATGCCTTTGCTCAGATAGACGGTTTCATAGCCATCGTGAGGAACAGGTGTGCATCTGCCCTAAGGCGCCACCGCGGGGGCTCAAACAGCATCTTGTGTGTGTTCACAGATCGGTGGGACTCGCCACTTCTGCGTAGATGCATTGAGCTCCACACACTCATTTAGTTGTGTTGTCCTTTCAAAATTATATATATATATATTTATTTTATTTATAACACTATATGGATTTTTATCTGAAATAAAATATTTGAATTGGAATGTAACACTTTATCTCTGCAACTTAAAAATCAAACAAACTCAACATTTTAATTGATATTTGAAAGTATCAAAATATATCGGTTACTAGTCATTACGTCGTAATATTAAAAAAGATAACACCGAAACGCCTCCTTGAAAAATACAATAGTTTTTTGAGGGTCTACTTTATTACACCTATTGATTCCGTTCCAGTGGAAACACGCCAGTTAATACTGAACCAAGTATACAAGTTTCATGCAGGGAATTTTCCATTCAAAGTTATTGCTTAGTAGTGACTATACGAACCCTTGCATTTTTATTTATCAACGCACATCTAATCATGCCAATCCGAGTAAACGCAAACTCAAATTCTTTTTTAGAACAACGTCTCGTTATCAGCAAAAAAGAGGAAAAATTTCATTTTAACCCTAAATAGGCCATCTAATCGACGCCCAAATTAAATGGTTATTAACGCTATGAAGGAACTGAACAAATTTTGTTAAACATGTATTGATTTGTTATTATTTATTATGTAATGTAATATGAACAAATAATATAGTATACAAACAAATATTAGGTTCCAAGCAGCTATGATATAAATATGAAATATTTTCTCGTGCATGGTTGTCAATTTTCATCATAGTTTAATTTTGTTGAACAATATTGAATTGTTTTTGTAACGTATGGTGTAGTCTGTTTATGTATATTTACAAAAAAAAATAATTACTGTTACTATTATATACCACCACAGTATATAAACTTAAACGACATGCATTTCAATTACCAGTAAAAAGAAAACAGAGTAAATAAACTTACATTAAAAGTATTTTAATTGAAAAGTCATATTACAAAATTGAAGACTGTGTGTTAGATAAAGATGTATGGAAAGACGACATGAGTCTAGTTTCCACACAAATATGATTGAAATTATATTTCATAAAGAGCAATCCCTAGAGTTTCTTGTTCATTCTTCTCAGGAAAGTCAGCACATTGAACGAGCAATAGCTTAAAATATAATGTATAAAAAAATTTACCAATGGAATAAACGATTATTTGCCTTAGAGTAAATTTACAGGAAATTACTGAAACTTTGCAGCTGTTCTAGATCAGTTTAAATTGCCGCTGAACCGATTTAAAGCTTTGTTAGCATAATTTTTGTTACCACAGCATAACGAACTTTATACCATTTATGTAACGTACAAGCTATACGAGTCAAAAACAGCTCGCGCGTCTTCTCGAGTATTCTCACGCAGCCTCGGGAATTCCCGCAGCTACCGTATCGTATCTAGTTTACATGTTTGGTACAAGGTTCACTATGCCTACATACAATTTCGTTACAAAAATTCACTTCCATTCCATTCCACAGCTACGTAAATTGAGCCGAAATTACAACTCTAAATTAAACTAATTTCCTGACCTTTTCATACTGATGACTGAACTTAAATATGAGTTTAGTTCGCTTTCGCTTCAATCGACACTCGTTTACATGAATGGCGTGGCTAATGGCGATTATCATTCACTCATTGTCTACGAAATCACTTTTGGTCGCTTCTCAAGCAAAATAAAGATTTGATAGACGTCAAATACTGACCTTAAATCTCAGATGATTCAAAGGAGGTACGGCATAAGGCACCTTCCAGAATGCCGCGTAAGGCTTATTCTCAAGCACAGTAAACAATTTCCTTCCAACAACAGTAGTACTGTTCGATTTCAATATTACCAAATCATCTATCGACTCTTCCTTGGGCACATCTTCACTATCACACTTGGAATTTGCTAGAAGAACTGAAAAACAAATGACTGTCGCCTTGTATCCTAACAAAAAGTGCATTATTTTTTTTTCTCGTAAACTATAGAAAGTACAATGAAGATTGAATTTTATAAACTATTAAAATTAAAATCTAATATTTTCTTTTAACTTCAAACTAATGACGAATAAAATAGAGGTAAACAAGAACTCTTCCGTCTGTATTCCAGTAGTGACTAGAAGATTTTGACGTATGTGATGCTAGCTTCCATGTGGCCACGTCAATGTAAACTATGCTAATGCGCATGAATATGTTTTGAAAATACAATTTTAATGCTTTTCCTTTAAGTACCTAATAAGAAATGAAGCTAGAGACGAAATATTATAATCTATAAAGAATTACAGTACTCTGAAATTAAAGTATTTTCTATAACTGATGTTATAAAAAGGTGATGGAACGAACAATTCGTGCGCCTGATGGTAATAACTTACACGCCTGTCCATAACAGTTACAGTGCCACTCAGAGCATTAAATTGCAAAGGTCTGAGGGGCACTACCCCTGCGCCCGTCATCCTGAGACATACGTTGACAAGTCTTTTGTTTTGGTGAAATTACAGGTACATGGGCCTGTAGTTTCACCAAAACAAAAGACGTGAAAAAATCATTGACTTACAAATAAATGGACGACGGGTGTAATACAAAAACCACGAAAAAAATGTCCCAAGTCAACGTATTTAAACGTAGTGACATATAAAGAAATATGAAAAAGCTAAAACGTTGAATTTAAATTGTAATGTCATCGCAGTACTGTCTAATTTTGCTTGCTTCGCTGTCAGTCCAACAAACGAAGACTAAAGCGTGAATGACGCTCTGTATGCGATTTTACGCCCTATAAGTTCGGACACTTTTTAGCGCGGACCCGACGTCCATATAATTGTAAGTCAATGGAAAAAATAGAATGTTTTTATACACAACTGTTTAAAAAGCTGGACGATTTTGTTTTTTATTTATTATTCAATGTGTCGAGAATTTTCCTCTTCAGAATAGATTTTCTGTGTTCAATTCTGTAAAATACAATCGCATATACAGTAACAAGAGCTGTATTTTCTTAGAAACTAGGCCAGACCACAGAACCACAGCAATAATCTGATTTCAACAAATTCCCTGTATTGTGAGTACACTGAGCCACATAGTTCACTTTGAGGTACCATCTTTTTTACTAGTATAGTAACTTGTTATCTCAGCAAGTCCGAAGGGCAAAAAAAGGTAAGGAAATTCCGTTGACAAAAATTACTTATTCAACTTATTTCTTTTACTATTGATCACTAACACTTTTCGTTACTTAACACAAAATGGATCCGAAAACGGTGCAACTTGTCCCAATCTTCTTTTTCTCGCCGTTTTTAGGCGGGAAGAACCCTAGTTCCACGACTCATCAACCAATCAAAATGCTGTACCATCTCAGTGATATAAACAATTTAGCTCGGTGTGCATAGCAATTAAAGTGATATCCAAATTGCTTCCATCCAATTTGTTTATCCAAACTGCCTCCGTGGCCGAACGGTTACCATACCGGACTGCCACGCAGAGGTCCCCGGGTTCGATTCCCGGGCCGGGAGAAATATTTGTATGGCCTACATTTATTTCTCTCGTGAGTTTGGGTGTAATTTGTGGTTGTCTATGTGTGTGTCCATGGCACCCGCGACACAGGGTTTCCCTAGTGCGGGGCTATGTTGAATGTGTGCGTTATTATTATTATTATTATTATTATCCAAGAAATGAACCCTAACACTCGAGGAAATGCATACCCTTGAGTCCAGAGAGGCTCAGGCGTTATGTGGAATTAATTAAACCTATGGCTTACCGTCTTGGCCAGGATGTTGCGAACGTAGTAGGATCCCGAAGATTCACCACAACGACTCCCTTAGCTGCGCCGGGAAAGAAGGAAGGGTTGGCTCGCCTGACCCATACTGCTCGGACACTACCCAGACCAACCAGACCAAAACCAATTTAGAACCTCCTCCTACGGTGCCCACGGTGTTACCGTTGGACTGCAGAGATCGATTGCAGTTCCAAATTGTAAAAAAATATTTCAAGGGATTCATTTACATACAAGTACATTTTAAAAAGCACAGCATTATTTTGGCTTAAATTTGCCTTAGTTGTCATAAGCAGCTTATGCTCTAGAGAAACATTGAGTACCTATTGAGATAGATGTTCTCCCCTGTGATGTCTACTTGTTGGTAAATTGCAGCTTTGATGTCAAGCGTTTACAGCAAATCTACCCTTATTGTTCAAGCCTATATTTAGAAAGACCCTGTTCGTCATATCGTCATCAGCTAATATTCAGAATGCGTTATGGCGTTCAATGGTGAGTGCGAGAGTGACGACGCATATTTTGTATTGTGGTATTTTTAGTTACCCTCTAAGCGTTCTGGTTATTTTTAAATGTGTCATAACACGAATAACGTGTTACGAATGTATTAAAATTTTTATTGAATTGATATTCAATTATTTTTTATGTTAAATTCCTCCACTAGTTTGTTATAATTATTAATACAAAGATCGAACTCTGAAAAAAAATTCCTTTGATCCGGCCTTATTCGAACCCACGCCGTCTTCTAGCATACCGTGCCAGACGCTATACCAACTAAGCCACGGCACGAACCAGCGGACCTCACGAATTTTTCTATGTGTTTTTGTTGTCGTGTCTTTGTATTTGGTTTTTCAACAACTTTTTAGCCGTAGCGCAATCTATGAGAAATGTTAAGGATTTCGTCACCAAGTTAGATTACCTCGTTAGTGACCTTTACAGCTAGCCCTGGCTAGAGATGTCGCTATTCATTGTATTTAATTTTTTATTGAATTGGTATTCAATTATTTTTTATGTGAATTTTATTACTAGGAGTAATATTATTCCACTAGTTTTTTATAATTATTAATACAAAGATATAAAGATAGATAGCTCCTTGTTAAAGAGTTTGTCCAAAGAAGTACTGCCACCTTACTAATTTCTACCGCCAAGCAGTAATCTGAGCATTACCATGTTCCGGTGTAGAAGGGTAAGGGTGCTGGTGAAATTACAGGCACATGGGTCTTGTCAACTTATGTGCTAGGGTTCCGACGTAGTGGCAATGCCCCTCAGATCTTTGCGACTTGAAGCTCGTGGCACTGCAACTGTTATGAAGAGACGTTGCTTACCACCAGGCACACAATTTGTCATGTCGTCCCGTCACTTGATGACATAAAAAACAACGTAACTACAGCCAATAATGAGTCATTGCAAAATAGTATTATCATTAATCTTTATTACATTTATAACTCTTGATTAACCACAACGTTCAGTCGGTAGCATAGTAACTAATGATAAGTTAGTCATACAACTTATTTTTTACACTGACATGTTTTAAAACATTAATACAAAATGTGGAATAATATAATAAAATTTTGTTTTATAAATATTATATTAATTAATAATATAGTTTTATGTGACGTTGTCGAAACGACACATGGTAAAGTGGCAGGGAATATTTTTAAGACGTTGTTGAATGGGGATAGTTATTATGGTTTTATGGGGATTCCTTACGCCAAACCGCCGGTTAATGAGCTAAGGTTTTTGGTAAGTTAATCTGTTTTATTTATACTTCCGGACACGTAATTTAAGCTACCTTACATCTATTTTCTCAGATGCCTAAAATACAAACTTAGTAGCTATAGAGTTCCTTATAGAAGAGTTCGTTCAAGGAAGTACTGCCTACCTATATCTGCCGCTAAGCGGTAATAATGTGAGCATTACTGCGTTCCTGTTTGAAAGGGTAAAAGTGCTGGTGAAATTGCAGGTACATGGGACTTGTCAACTGATGTCTCAGGGTGACGGGCGCAGTGGTAGTGCCCCTCGGATCTTTGCGATTTTAAAACTCTGAGTGGCACAGCAACTGCTATGGACAGGCGTGTCTCTTAGCACCAGGCGCACAACTTGTTAGCCCCGCCACTTGGTATCATAAAAATACATTTAGAAAGAAAAATAACAAAAATATTGTTGTCATCGAAGAAAAAGTTATCAGTTTTAGAAATTCTAAAAATTACATAATAGTTTTTGATCAATCAGTAAGGAGTAATATGGTTGCCCGCAGGTTTGCTCGATGCTCACTCGAAGTTAAAATAACGCTGTTTAAAGCCTACAGCCAATATTTCTACTCGAGCAGCCTGTGGGTGAGGTGTAAGAAACGTGCCTATACGTTCAATATAACAACGCATTTAGAGTGCTGATGGGACTGCGAAACTGAAGCAGTGCCTCGCCCATGCGGAAGCTCACGCGGACAGCTTCCAGGCCGTAATACGGAAAAAGATTGTCTGGCTGTTAAGTAACGTGAGGCAAAGTCCCAACAGCATTCTAAGTGCAATAGCGGGAAGTTTTGACTGACTAACTGTAAAGTTCTGAATAAAGCAAATTAAGGGCGTAGCCAAATTTATAGTGTAGTTATAAATTAAGCCTGCATTCATTGACTTACAATTATATGGACGTCGGGTCGGCGCTAAAAAGTGTCCGCACTTGTAAGGCGCTAAAATCGTATACAGAGCTCCAAACTCCGCTTTAGTCTTCATTTGTTCTACTGACAGCGCGATACTGCGATGACATTACAATTTAAATTTCGAATAGGTTGACTTGGGACATTTTTTTCGTGGTTTTTGTATTAGACCCGTCGTCCATTTATTTGTAAGTCAATGCCTGCATTGTACTAAATTAACCTTGTTTTTAAATTCTCGTACTAACAAACTATGGATATTTTTAATGATCAGAAATCAAGAATTATTATTATTATTAAAAAGATAAATAATTTCCAATTAATATTTTCCCGATTAGATGTAGAACTTTCAAAAAGTATGAAGCGGTTACGGCATAACTGCTTTAGATTATTCATCACATACTCAACTCTAACATTAACAAAATTCGATAAACATCGTTCCAATAAACCACTTCAAACAATTCAAAACAAATCCAATTTATTGTCCGCAGCCGCCGCAGGCCCTTGACCCTTGGCCTGAAGTACTTGAAGCTACAAAGGAGAAAGTACCTTGCATCCAATTCAACTGGAACATCAAGAGGGGACGATCCAGGGGACTTTATGGACAAGAGGACTGTCTCTATTTGGATATCTTCACCCCTGGCCTTGATAACATCCACCGCCCTGTCATAGTCTTTCTGTACAACGAATACTTCAAAAACTCGTATAATAAGACAAAAGATTATGCTCCTGACTTTTTTCTCGAAGAGGACGTCGTCGTTGTTACAATATCTCATCGCCTCGCTGTGTTCGGGTTCCTATCTTCAGAGGACGAGACGTTGCAAGGCAACGGGGGATTAAAGGATATAGTATCTGGCTTACAATGGATAAGAAACAATATCGAACGTTTTGGAGGAGACCCGAATAAAATTACTCTGATGGGTGCTCAAGGAGGAGGGGCTGCGGTCGATCTGCTCATACATTCGGAAGCGAGGCAATTGTTCCATTCAGCAATCTTACAAAGTGGCACGTCTTTATTCTCTATATATTTGCAGGAAGGCGCTAGAGAACGCGCTTTCAAATTAGCGGAAATTCTAGATCGTAGTACGGGCAATGGCAATACTCTAGTAAAATATCTAAACGAAATTCCGCCCAGGGATTTGCTAGCGAAACAATTGAACTCTATTTCCAAGGATTATAACAAGGAACAACAAAGAGGCCTGCTCCCTTTCGGCCCAATTGTGGAACGCGAAGGTCTTGTAACGCGATACCCCGAGAGCTCGCAGAAAATCGACTTGCCTGTTATGATTGGATTCAACTCTAGAGAAGGTCTAGAAATGTCACTAGAATTTCTAATAGAGCATAGATACTTAAGTTTTGTGCAAAAAGATTTTACACTGTTAATGCCGTGGCGTGTTAATTTCAAATTTAACCCGATTGATGATTCCTACGAAGATGCGATCAATGATTTGAAAAAATTCTACTTTAAAAATGGAAAAGTTACTATAAACAGTGTTCCTGAGTATATTACCTATGCAAGCGATCTTACGACTTCATCCATAGACCGCACAGTGCAATTTTACGCGAATATATCAACAAAACCTATTTATTACTACCATTTTGATTATTACAGCGATTTGAATGAGAATAAAAACGAGTTGTTGAAACTGGCACAAACAAAAGATGGTACATGGGGGGCGGCAACAGGTGATGAGCTGTGTTATCTTTTTAAATGTCCCAGTTTGAAGAATGCTTATTTACGGTACAACAAAACGATGTCTGAAGAAATAGTGGTGTTAAGGAAAATGGTCAAAATGTGGACGAACTTCGCTAAACATGGGTGAGTGCATCGAGTTCTTTGGATTTTGTGATTGCTACTCATTAGAAATAAAACCATTTTTTTTCAGTCAGCCGTGACTATGGGACCCTGTTTTTTTATGTACCAATATAAGATCATTGATGAAACCTGTAAAATGCCTAAAACAGAAAAAACAAATATACGTCATCCGAAACAATAGCTACAGACACCAAGTGACGGGACCAACAAGTCGAGTACCTAGTAATAAGGGTCACGCCTAACCACAACAATTGCAGTGCCACTCTGAGCTTTATGTTGTACAGATCCGAGAGCACTATCATTGCACCCGTCACTCAGATCGAGACTTCAGTTGACAAGTTCCATGTGTCTGTAATTGCACCATTAATACTAAGAACTCACGGAGCGATTTTCACCCGCCGCCGCCATGGCTGCGGGAAAAGTGATTTATTTCAATACGCACGACACCACAGATTTGTGCGATCATATAGTCGCCGCAGTTGCGGAACGGAGACGCAAACTTGGCAGAAGAGCTATAATCTCAAATTTGCGGTGTCGCACGTATTGGAATAAATCAATTGTCCCTCACACATGGCGCGAGCGGGTGAAAAGTCCCGCAGTTATATACGATCAATCAAGATCATCCGTTAAGTCCCAGACTTCGCCATGGAACCAGAAACGCTCGGTTTTACTAGTATCCCGCGAATATTGCGGCTACCGCTTGCGTTTTCGTTTGCGATGGTTGCTTGCAACCATGAAGTGTGTTACAAAATTTTACATACATCTACATTCCATGGAACAACAGCGGAAGCGGAGGTTAAAAACCGCTCCGTGAGTTGTAAGCCTTACCCTTCAAAACCGGAACGCAGTAATGCTCACATTACTGCTTTGGGGCAGAAATAGGCATGGTGGTAGTTGTTCCCTAGACGAATTATTTCACAAAGAGTCGTACTGCTGCAATATTTTTCTAGAATGTGTGTGGAAGGTGGTAGCCCTACCAGTAGTATACTTCGTCGGCTACATTTGGAAATTCGTAACTCCGTTTCTAGACGAAATCCGTTTTTTACTCTTCAAACGCAATATCGGGCAATTAAAGCTTAAAATATAATTTCTACACCTTCTTTTAGTTATAAAATAAAGATATACTTAGACTGTTACATAATTATTTGTAGTAATAATAAAGCCGACGACTTGTGTGTTTCTTAAACCCCGGAGTATTTTTCAAAGGTCTTGCATTAATCTTAGCATACAAATTTTGCGCGTAACTTTATAGAGATTCTATACTTAGCGAGATGGGTGGATGGCACAAACTACGGAAGGCCTACACTCTGCAGTGCGTGAAGTCAGGTTGTGAATGATGACAATCTATAGTTCAAGTTTGCTCATCATCTTATCTACTTTCACAAATACGCATTTTCAGTTGCAATTTAGCATCTAGCATTTTTATAAATAATTCTTCTCAAAGAAGTTCTTAAGACTTTCGTTACCAAGCTACTTTTAGTAACAAACAAAGTAAGCGAAGTTTGTTCCAAGTCGGACATAGTTTAGCAAAATATTTGAACAATCCGGCCTCGGTTTTAACAATGCTTTTGTAGTTTGACAAGATGCTCTTTGATCCCAAACACTTTACTCTCATTAGAGACACCCGATATCTTTTCGGTTACTGATGATGACTGAACGGTGTTTTTATTTCATTCGAATTTTACTACAATCGCTATGTTTTATTATATTGATTACGCTAAATCCTAATATTATGCAGACTCTACGCCCAGCATTAGACTCGTAAAGACATATATCGAGTAGTAAGGTATATTTTAAGTTTCTTATTTACAACTATATCAAACCAAATCATTTGTTTCGGATCAAATAAATCCATATACAATTACAAATTTAAAATTAAAATTTATACATTAAAAACTAATATTGCATAACATAAACATTGTAACTAAAATAAATAAATAAATAAATAAGGTCGAAGAAATTTCGTTTATGACCAATCGTCAAAAAAAACAAATAAAATAATGTTGAGCATGCAAAATAAAGAACTTAATGTAAACCGCCACATGAAGCTGCACCCAATGGGCCTGGACGGGGCAGTCTACTTTGTTCGCTACAACAGTCAGAATGCTGTTAAGGCTTCCAAGCACACGTCGCCAAAGTGAGGCTACCCCCTTCCTCAGAATGGCATAAAAGCCGTCTGAGTCGCGGTAACGCCAACAACATCCTAAGCGCGTTGTTGTACTACCCTCAGAGTCTTGTCACACAATAACGTTACACCCCACAACTCAATATTACATCACATCATCAATAACTTCAAAACATTGTTTTTTTATTTCAGTAACCCGACGCCAGATTCGTCAGACGTACAGTGGCCACCTTATAACATCAACACTAAACAGTACCTGCATATTGGACGCAACATGGAGGTCAAAGAAGATCTACGTGGAGACAAGTTTCGGTTTTGGAGTGAATTTGTCAAGAAATGGGAAAAGAAGTTGAAACCAACCGGAGTCAACGATGAATTGTGATCAAGATTTCATCGTTCATAGAAAAAGGACACAAATTTTTGTAGCAAGTTGCTTATTTAATTATAACGATAAGAGACAATGTCGAATTCTTAGGTCTTCGCGATTGTTACAGATAGGAACATAAACTATTTTTTTAAATCTGAATCGTATATCTTTTTCAAACAGACCAATGTTTCAGGCCTTTCGCAGGCGGTTTTACTCTCGTTTCCGAAATAATTGCAGTCAAATAAATAATACCAACCACATTAAAAGACAATGTCAAGAATGAAGCTTCAAACGCATCCTTCGTCTTTTAATATAGTCGGGTATTACTTATTTCACAGTAATTGTTTCGCACGGATGTCGGACTAAAGCCTTATTCAGAGGGACCGCGCGCGCCGGCGCCTGTCTCGAGGCGAGCGCGGGCGCCAGTGCGCGGGTAGAGGTCTATTGGCTCGATCCGGCTGTACCTTTCACAGTGATTAGTCTAGCGTCTAGTGTCTGTTTGCGATTTCGATCTACTCGCTCGTAGCCGCTTAAGCACTGTGAAAGGGCGGACGCCAAGACCCGCGCGGCCCGCTCCCGCCGCCGCATCCGCGCCTGCACTCTGAATGAGCCCTTAGAACGAGAGTACAGGGCCAGATACTATGGTCAATCCCATCCATTGTAAAAAAATTACGAAATTAAGTTTTTGTACCTACCTTTCCGTGGCGAGGCGTTCTTATAACTCGATTCCTGCCGGCTTGCCTAAAATTTTCCACGTATTACTAAAACACTGAAAATTAAGTGAATTAATATCTTGTGTGCTAATAAGTGTTGTATTAAATGTCGCCAAGGCTCCTTTTTGACGGGAAATAGTTTTTGTTAGGATTTTTTTGCTTCGGCTTTGCTATGGAAAATTTTCACCTGCCACTGCTACCTTTGAAAATACAAAATCGATATGCGATGCGATGTCTATTATTTAAATTTTTTCTAGTTCTGTTAAAAGTTCTGTTTTCAAAAATAAACCTCTGTAATCATTGACTTACAATTATATGGACGTCGGGTCCGCGCTAAAAAGTGTCCGCACTTGTAAGGCGCTAAAATCGTATACAGAGCGCCAAACTCCGCTTTAGTCTTCCTTTGGTCGACTGACAGCGCGATACTGCGATGACATTACAATGTAAATTTCGAATAGGTTGACTTGGGACATTTTTTTCGTGGTTTTTGTATTAGACCCGTCGTCCGTTTATTTGTAAGTCAATGTCTGTAATATTGTTTTTTCTTTTCCTGTAAAATATACAATACTTGATAAATTAATTTACTATTTTTTGTTTCTTCGAAGATATGGGGAACGTGATATATTTTTTTTTTTTGCCACCTTACCTATTTCTCCCACCAAGCAGTAATGTGAGCATTACTGCGTTCCGGTTTTCAAGGGTAAGAGTGCTGGTGAAATTACAGGCACATGAGTCACTTAGATCTTTTCAATTTAAAACTTTTAAAGTACGTTTTAAAGAGTTTTGATTAGTTGCATTGTCTTGCAACTGCTAAGGACAAGTGTGTCGCTTAACACCAAACATGCTACTTGTACATCTCATCCCTTGGTGTCGTTTGCGCTCTACGTCCGATTTGTATTAGTTCCGAATTCGAGAAATGGCGGTCCGAAATGTCACAGGGATCATTTTATCTCTAGGTGTACAAGCGATATTCATATTTACACGAATTTGAATCGGACTAGTGCACAAGTCACATCCGAAGTGGGTCGGAGTTTTCTAGATTTGTATAGTCTCGAATTCGCAACGAATACGAATCGCAAACGCGCTTAAGTTGAAGGTTTACCCTACAAATAACTAAATTAATCACTAGTAACGAGTTATCAATTAGTTCACAATTGACAGTAAATTATCACTAATGTTCGATAACTTGTTAAAAACCCAGATAGATTAAATAAATCTTATCTGAGAACACGTCAGTTCTTAAGAAAATATATTTACAGTGTTATGATTTGCTTTTAAATTAAACAAAACACTATCGCCATGGCTGGTATAAAGGCAATAGTTTTTAATACAATATTTCTAATCATATTAAATGTAGTTAGTGCAAATGTTCAAGTTAAAACGAACAGTGGTGTTGTAGAAGGCATAGAAGTTAAATCTATTTTGAAAGATGAGAAATATTATTCTTTCTTGGGAATACCGTATGGTGAACCACCCGTTGAAGACTTGAGATTTATGGTAAGACTTTTAGGTACTATATGTTAACTTGTAATTACAAGTTTCTAATTTACCTAAGAACGGTAACTTTGCAACAAGCGCTAAAGATTGTAACGGTATTCCTTTTAACAATTGCTATTATAATTTATAAAACAGAGGTTGGAGTGGTTGCACCATTATATCTATGGGTTACACGCGGGGACTTCTGGTAACGATACTAACGCGCGTCTGTGAAACATGTGATTGCATCACGATACTTGCCATTTATAGGACAGATTTTTCGAACGCGCGACTACACCGATGCAAATGCGCCACTATGTGCGAAAAATCTGTGTAGGTTTATGCACAGTCATTGTTTTGTTTTGTTAATTGTAAATTTAAAAGTGATATAAACAAATTAATTAATTATTGAAAAACGTGCATCGCGTTTGCATCGCGATTGTATTGTTTGTGTAAAGGTAGACGATTAGCAACCGATTAACAACTAAAAGCCGCCGTGTGTAACCACTCGTCCTTCCATGGAACGTTTCTGTTGCTAACCAATCTGCAGTGTACCTGAAAGTCCTTGTAGAAGGCACAAAATACTCTGATCAACATGGTAATAAAAGTTTACTTTATAAGTCAATTTGTTTTTCGTTTCAGCCCCCAAAACCGCACAAGAACTGGGAAGGAGTGCTAGCGGCCAAAAAGGAAAAGAAACCATGTGCACAATTCAACTTCGCCATAAGAGATACGAGCGAATACGGTTTCTATGGAGTTGAAGACTGTCTACATCTCAGTATACATACTCCTAAAATTCCTTCTACCAGCCAGAATGTCAATTTACCAATAATAGTTCTATTTATTAATGAACAATTCAGAGTCATGCCTAACATATCAAAAGAATTTGGACCAGATTTCTTTATGAAAGAAGGCGTAATAATCGTAAGTGTTAACCACAGATTAGCATCATTAGGCTTTCTATCAATGGAGGATGATCTACTACCAGGCAATAATGGACTTAGAGACGTCATATTGGCTTTAAAATGGATTAAAGATAACATACACAATTTTGGAGGCAATCCCAATAAAATAACCCTTATGGGTCAGCAAGAAGGAGCCGTGTTGGTTGAGATACTGTTACATTCTCCAAAAGCGAAAGGATTATACCATGGAGCAATACTGCAGAGTGGCACAGTGTGGAATTCTTTGTATTTCACAGGAAAAGCTCGTGAAAGAGCTATTGAATTTTCCAAGCAAATGGAAGAACATGCGACTACGACCACGTTTATGTTGAAACGATTTGCTGATGTGCCAGCTGAGAAATTACTTGACAGTGAACATATGGCTGTCCACGCTGATGAAGCTAGAGCCATTCAAAGAGGCATTATTCCATTTGGACCAGTGATAGAACATGATCATCCTGAAGCGATAATCACTAAGCTCCCAGAAGAAGGACTAGTTAATATTGAGGTACCAATTATGATTGGATACACTTCAAGAGAAGCTCTAGAAGCGAACAAGAATTTCTTTGTCAGACCACAATTCTTGACATACGCTGATAGAGATTTCTTAGTAATGATACCTATTAGAGCAGGTTTTCACTTTACAGTCAATGACAAAATATACTTCCGTGCCGTTAAAGATATCAAAGATTTCTATTTTGACGAAGGCTATGTAAAGAATAGTAAGCCTGGAGAATATATTACATATATGAGCGATGTGTTATCGTTCTATCCCATAGACTATGCAGTAAGAAAGTATAGCAAAGAATCTAAATCTGACGTATTTTATTATACATTCGATTTTAGTGGAGAATTGAATAACAGAAAGATAGATGCTTTAAAGGAGGCTAGAAATTATGATGGCACATGGGGAGCTACTGTAGGCGACGATCTTTGCTACTTATTTGTATGTAAGAAAATAAAGAAAGCCTACAAGGAAGCTATGGAACAAAACGACTCGGAAGAAATGCAGGTTTTAGACAATATGGTGCGGATGTGGACAAACTTTGCAAAAACAGGGTAATTAAGATTTTTAAAATATATCTTTAAATTTATAGATTCAGGTTATTTTGCCGAAGTCCGTACTAATAAAAAACTAAGCAAATTACCATGCTTCTTTGCGATTGCGATAGTGAAAATTAAATCAAGCAAAATAGTGTTTTGAATATTTTGTAAATAATGCTTATGTTGAATATTTTGTGATGCAGTTAATTTTAAATAAAAAATAATAAATTAAATAACACAAACGCAATTAAAGTCACAACCACCACCTAAAATATAATCGACATGTGCACCTCCTCCCTACGAGGCATCATCAGGAGATGTTGGCTGTTCGACCCTTGGGCGAAGATATTTTCCTTGAAAAGAAACGACTTACGTTAACACTTTAATTTTCTAACGCATAAACGCATTTCATTTCATCATTATCAGTTGATGAGGCGTACAAATGTAAACTAATGTAAAAACAGCACTGTTAAAAGAAAACGTTGTAAATTAATACGGTAAAGTCAACTAGCAATTTAAAAAAAAACAAAAAAAAATCATTTTTTTCAGAAACCCAACACCTCCCGGTGATAAGTTTACATGGAAACCAGCAACGCCTGAAAACAAAGAATGTCTGCTAATCAACGAAGAGCTGCAAATGAAGACCAAACTTCACGAGGACAGGGTTAAGTTCTGGGACGACTGGATAAAGAAATACAAGGAAATGGCAAAAGATAGTGTTGTTAAAGATGAACTTTAGAAAATCCCACTAGTATAATTATGTAAATGAATTACAACATTTGTTTAAAAAAGTTTTGTAATCGACTTTGTACGGACTGCCTTAGACTATTACAATTATTCTATTCATATTATTTCCAATTATTTATAATTATTCAATAGCAAAGTGAAAGAATTCGTCTAGAGAAATACTGTCACTTACTTAATAGGTTACTATTTCTGTCGTCAATCGTTTTGAGGAATAAGGATGGATGGATGGTAAAATTGCAGGCACATGAGACTTGTCAACTTATGTCTCAGGGTGACAGGCGCAGTGACAGTTTTTGCATCGCGTTTGCATCGCTGCTAAAAGTCACTATGTGTAACCGCTCTTAAAGCTCTGAGTGGCACTGTTTAGCACCAGGCGCACGACTTGCACGCCCCGTCACTTCTTATCATAAAAAAGTACCAATACAAAGATTTACGCTTGTCAGTGACAATGACAATGATATTTACAGTTCATTAGAGTCAGAGAAGGCTAGACATAGTGTTACTAATTTTCATTGGCTATCTAAAAGCCTTCAAAGACCTGTCTGTTCTAGAGTAATAATTGGAAAGGAAAGACTCGATTATTACGAACGTTTGAATATTCTTCGAACTTGTAAACATCAACTCTCGGAGTCTACTCTCATTCTCCGTCCGACATCTGTCCGAGACAATTACTGTCAAATAAGTAATTATTATCATTCGATCAAATTCAAAGACAATGTCAAGTATGAAGCTTCATTAGCATCATGCGTCTTTCTATTTTTATTTCACAGTAATTGTTTCGGATGGAGGGCGAGAGTACAGGGCCTACGGCCTGTATTTGTGAATGGAGCGTCCGTCTATTATTTTTTTTTATGTAACATCAAGAGACGGGACCAACAAGTCGTGCGTATGACGGTAAGCTACACGCCAGTCCATAACAGTGACCATGTCACTCAGACTTTTAAATCGCAAAGATCTGAAGGACACTACCACTGCGCCCATCACCCTGAGACATAAGTTGACAAGTAACATGTGTCTGTAATTTCACCAGCACCTTTATTTACCCTTCAAAACAGGAACACAGTAATGCTGACACTACTGCTTGGCGGCAGAAATAGGTAAGGTGGATGTACTTCCCTGGAGGAACACAGAAGAAGCTCTACTGGGGCCTTACCATGAACACTTATTACGATTCAATTTAGGACCTAAAATGAATGGTTGTGAAATAGCGCTACATGAAGTGTATATCACCATCCCGCTTTTTTGTCGTTACGAACCTATACTAAACTGTAATAAGAGTTCATGCTACTAAAACTGGTCTATTACAATGTAAACTGCTTTATTTGCTGACCCACTAATTATCATATAAGCCGGAAGACGTCCACTGCTGAACATAGCCTGCCCCCAAAGATTGCCAGACTAGCCGGTGATGTGTAACCATCGGTTACCCGTCACCCTAACCAGGTCATCCGTCCATCTAATAGGGGGCCGGCCCACTGAAGACTTCCGGTTCGTGATCTCCATTCGAGAACCTTTCTGCCTCAACGGCCGTCAGTTCCACGAGCTATGTGCCCTGCCGACTGCCACTTCAAATTGGGCTGTCAGTGACTGTCGTTCTTCTAAGGATCTACTCATTTCTGATTCGACCACATAAAGAAATACTGAGCATTACACGCTCCGCAGGTCGTTAAATGACTTTGAATTTTTTAATGAGACCCGTCGTAAGTGACCACGTCTCAGAGCCGTAGGTCATCGCTGGCAATACACAGTGCTCGAAGACTTTTGTCTTTAAGGACTACGCTGTTGCGGAAGAGACTAACCCAACCGCGTCGGTACCAACTGTGTGTTGGTACCGACAATAAATTATAACACAATAAATTATAATACATTATAATGATATATTTAGCTAACTACTAATTTTAATTGAATAATGTAATAGATTTTTCATAGATTTCTCATAGATGGCGCTAACTAAACCAGGTAGAAAGATCCGACAAACAAGCACATAGAAATATTCGTGAGGTCTGCTGGTTCGTTATGTGGCTTAGTTGCCATAGCGTCTGCCACGGTTTGCTAGAAAACGTCGGTTCGAATTCGACCGGATCGACGGATTTTTTTCTCAGTATTTGATCTTTGTATTAATAATTGTAACAAACTAGTGGAGTAATTTCACAAAAAAATAATTGAATATCATGGTGGTCAAGCATCCAGACGTTTAATAAAACACTTAATGTGATAGACATAACCAAATAATGTTATCTAAATTGTCAAATTAACCTTGCTATGAATAAATAACGAAATACAGTGTTATAAAAAAGCAATTTGCCAAGTTACAGTAATTAAAAACCTATTAATAAAAAATATATATTTAATATAGTTATCGATCATAGATAATCTGAAGTACACGTAAGTATTACGTATTTTATCATTGAGTAGGTACAAAATATATCGACATTCAGGTTAATACTTTAATCCGAGAACGTACACAATGTTGGGGTTAGGTCTGTTGACCAAATTGGTATTAATAATATTTAGTAATTACGTTTCAAGCGATGAAACTATTGAAGTGATTTTGGAACAGGGTGTGTTGTCTGGGACAGTGAATAAAACGTTTTGGAATGAACAAGACTATTATAGTTTTCAAGGCATACCGTACGCTGAACCTCCAGTTGGTGATTTAAGATTTCAGGTACTCTATCTAAACTGTATTCTACTCACAAGTCAGTATGTTATCTTTACACTTTACTAAACCTAAACCTTTATACATATACTTGCATCACAATTAACTTAACTTGTTTTATTAGGGTGCGCCTCACTTATGCGAAAATTAAATTAATTAATCAAATACCGTTTTAAATTTTATTTAGTCCAATTTCACTTCCTATAATTTAACTTCATGTAATTCTTGTTTGATATAACATTCACTAACATTTTATAATTTTATTAAATATGAATCTCATATTATTATAACACAATCATATCATATATTGTCAATTTAGATAATTTTTATGTGGTATAATGTAACTTTTCATAAATATAAGTTTAAACCCGACTCGCCATGATGCTTGTCTATTCGATACTATGAGTCTAATTTAAAAGCCGGATGTGCGGACCGACAGTTGTTTTCCATATATAGTTCACAATGCTGAATTTTGATTTCGACAAAATTATTATTGTTAGATACTTCCTCGGTGGTTTGAATAAAACAAACGTATTTTACATTGGTCAAATCTTGATTGCGGCTCCCATTCAGTAGGTTAGGTTTGAACATGAAATAGCTGCACGAGCCAAGCGAGCATGCCGCGACAGCGGCCAGCGAGTGCCAGAAACGAATTTGTTTGCGTTTCCGAACAGGTTTTCAGGCCAAATTATAATTAATATTAGTATTAGGGATATAGTTTTTGGAGAATAATCGTATTTCCAGATGAAATGAAATTTAGATAAAATGACGTCATGTTAACTGTGGTTTATAACTTATGATCGTTATTAAAATTGAGTGTTAGTGTAAGTGATCGTCATGAAAAATTAAATTATAGAATGCAACTTTATATTATGAAGTGAATTAGTATTATAATAAATGAGTTTATAGGAAATAAAATTATGCCAATTGACCGTTATGTGAATAATATTTATATGATACATTACACACCCGTTTTATTAATTACAGTCAATACTGTGCAGCCCAGTTCTGCATTTAAGCATTGAAAATTCCATCTTGTTACTTTCAGCCTCCGAAACCGCTGACAAAATGGGATGGGACATACGAAGCCTACAAGGTCAAACCGACATGCCCACAATTTAGCTCTAGAAATCGCAACAATGAACCATTTGGATACTCAGGCTCAGAAGACTGTCTTTACGTCAGTGTCTTTACACCAGACTTGGAAGGCAACAAGCCTGTAATCGTATTTGATTACAATGATGACTTCAGAACTGGTTTCAATGGAACAGACACTCATGCTCCAGACTTTTTCATGGAGGAACATGTTATAATAGTCACCATTGGGCATAGAAAAGGAGTTTTAGGTTACCTGACAACTAAAGATGACGTTATACCTGCTAATAACGGCCTGAGAGACTACATTCTCGGTCTAAAATGGATACAAAGTAATATTGAAAAGTTCGGTGGCGATTCTAAGCGCGTTACTCTAATGGGCAACAGAGGAGGGGCGGTAATTGCTGAGATACTTCTGTATTCTAAAGCAGCCAAAGGACTTTTCAGCGCTGTAATGTTACATAGTGGAACAGCAATGGAATCATTATTCTTTTATGACAAACCGAGATTAAAAGCTTTCCAAGTCGGAAAACACTTAAACATCACAGCGGAAGATAGTAAGGAGTTGCTTGAGGGGCTTCAGAAAGCTGATCCAGAACAGTTGCTGGTTTCAGAATTAATGATACACGATGGTGCAGGACTAGCAATTAAACAAATAGCTGATCATCCATTTATGCCAATGATTGAAGACGACCATGAAACTGCTATAATAACTGCCTTGCCTGAGAAAGGAAAAATCGTCAATGATGTACCGGTAATAATAGGTATGACTTCCAGAGAAGGCATAGATTTAATCGCTGATTTTCTATTTGACCCAAGGGTCTTCCTGTACTACAAGAAAAATAATATGCTCGGTATGCATTTTCCGATCAGAGTTGATTATAGATTCAATTCAAAGAGCTACTTATTTAAAAAGAACGTCACACAGGAATTGCTTGATTTTTATTACGCAGGTGAAGAGATGAATTTTGACAATTTGCCACAATATGCTGAATTTGTGGGAGATATGACTCACATGTACCCATTGAACTATGCAGCAAAAAAATTGTCTAAAGAAATGGAGTCACCTGTATATTACTTCATGTTTGACTTTAAGGGTGGATTGAGTGAAAACAATATATTCATATCGAAATATTCCCAAATTCCTTTCGGAGGAGGGGCTACAGTGACTGATGAGCTATGTTATTTGTTCCTATGCTCAAGAATTAAGAAACATTATCTAGTGCTGAAGAAGTTAGAGTCCGAACAACCTGAATATAAGGTTTTAAAGAAAATGCTTCGGATGTGGACCAACTTTGCAAAGACAAGGTAAGAAATAGGGCTTGAATATAATTATTTACTATTTCTTTATAATATGTGAAAATCATACTCAGTACAGTTCCATTCTCCCACCGAATTGAAAGAAAAAATAGGTAACGATAAACTATCTTTAACAATTACAGAGAGGAAGTTCATTTAACATTAGACATAAAAACTGATATGTATAACAATAACGTAAAAAGCCTTACTCGAAACGTTTTTCTTAATAACAATTACAGGAACCCAACGCCAGAGAATGAAGAGCTATTAAAAAACTTAATTTGGCAACCTATAGATAAAGATAGTAAGGAAATTGATTACTTGCACATAAAAAAGAACCCGGAAATGAAGAAGAACCCTCTTGGAATTAGAGAACAGTTTTGGGATGAGTTTTTGCAGAAATATGCAGATTTAGCAGTCAACGGCGTCGTTGCTGAAGGCGAGGATTATGTTGAAGAAGTGGAAGAGAAACCTGAACAGGATGGAATGGCTGATGTGGGGCGTGACGACGTTATGACACCCACTGAGAAAGAAGCTGAACAACAGGTTTTGAAATCTTTAGAAGAAAAGGAAAAGCAAAAACAAAAAGAGAAGGAAAATGAAAACAAAGCGGAGGAAGAAACTGAAGGTGGAGAAGTTCATGTTGAACTTTAGACAAAATTTAGAAACTGTTTCTATGTTTATAATACACGTTAAAATATTTTTTCCGTTATTTTAAATGTTTACAATAATTATTGGTCTGTCTGTGAGTGAACTAATTATAATACTTGAGATTGCCAGCAGCATATTTCATACTTTTGGTATAATAAATCCACAATATGGTCAAAAGTGCTTTTGTCACATGAAAGTCATGAAAATAATATGAATTACAATAAAGTGTCTAGGGATCAAGCAAGCTATTGCTAATTACTGAAAATCTCGTTTGATAATGAATTTTTTAAACACCAACTTTCATATTCAAATTATAAACCTGACCAAAAAATGTTAAAAAAACCCGATTTTTAAGTCATTGGCAAAAACATTCTTGATCCCTAGATAGATCCCCTTTTTATGTATATTAGGTACAGGTTCCATATTTAAAAGTAATTCTTTACTTTCAAATATAGGCTTGATTCATATCGCCGAGACGCAACGCAAAATATACATAATAATGATAGTTATATTTAAGTTAAAAATCGATCACTTTAAAATCAAAATGCTATTATATATAGATATATTATGTGACTTACAACAACTTACTTGGTAACGATTTGTTTTTTCAAGCAAACCCGCGCTACAGGCCCTTTACAGACTCTTCGTCGGACAAATGCATAGGAGCACTACATGCTCTGTTTTCGTTTTCTTATTCTAAGGGCTGCTCGCTTTCTCCAAAATTCCGCATATGCCAAGAGAATAGCACGAGCCATTAGTTATATTCACAATTTACAAAGAATATTACTTAAAAAAACAAAATAACAAATCAAAGAACAAAACTAAAGAAAAAACCAAACAAATGTTAAGCGTCGTTATTTAAGAGCGCCTTAATAAGACTAGCTTATCAATTTTACTTGGTCGGTTTATAGTGTTCATCACTATGGGTCGTATTCCCTCAATACCGAGTACCTATTGCAGTGAGCACTGAAAATCATACTCAAGTCTCACTTGCCATTAGGGTCGTATCTCCAGTGCTTGAAATCATACTCAAGTCTGCTCAAGAAATCTATAAAACACTAGTCATTAGCAGTTGCTATCGGTCTCGAAATAAATTAATATTATTCACTCGGTGATTATCACTTTCTTATGCACTTGTGCTTACGGAATACGAAATAACGTTATCAATACAAAATCAACTGTCAAAACAAGTTAAAGTGATAATCACTGAAGTTGACGTTTCACAGTTGCTAACCATGATACACAAACTAATAAGAGATACTACGTATCATAGATAGAAATTACGAATATGCATTTTTGACACAATGTAGTTGAGCCACGTTGAGTACTTTATTCGGTGACTATCATCATAGACAACTATGTAGGTACCATAATGAAAACTATCATTATAATCTGTCAGTTGAGTTATGCAATGGGTCTGCAGTACGTTTCAAAACGATTTACGTCCGAAAAAATTGTTTCATTTCCGATCACATATCAAGTTAAAAAATTATTATTTATAAGTTTTTATTTATATTACTTGTTAGGACGAAAAATTAAAGAACTCGAAATATAGATCGCTAAAGTAGAGACAAAGTTACGAAAACTAGAGACTTGATGACAATATACTTGTTCGTAAATTGAGAGCCACTCAACAGGTTATGGCATAATTAGAGCGTTAAATATTGTACCTCCTGTTTGTTCCGAAAGTTAGAAACGAAACTTTATAATGTAGCTAGTTTAATTATGTTAGAGGTTCGTGGAAATTTCTCACAAACAATTAGTATAATGTATCTTCTTTCGTAGTAAAACCAAAGTGGCGTCACTTCTTCAGTTTTAGATTATTGGTTTGTATAAAATGGTTGGAACCACTCCAAATTTTATTAATTTTGAAGATACAACAACAAACAATTACAATTTTGCTATTTATTTATGTGAAGTCAGCGTTTGTTATGGTTTCAATTTTTACTGAATTTCTACCGGGCGGCGCCATCTATTGTGTACCGTGAGAACTTTTTAGTTCTCAAGGTTGCTACAATATTTCATTCGTTCACAGTGTTTAATAAACTCCTGCATAGATGGAGTCGGTAGCTTCAAAATGAAAAGAAAGTTCAAATTGCCGACGTGTGTGTGAATTGAATGAGCACCGTCTGAAATAATAGCATAAATAGTGAAAGTATTAGATAAATCGTGTAATGATTCGATCGTTAGTTGATAGGATCAGTTAACAACTAATACTACTATTTTCAACCATAAAGGAGAAGTAGAAAAGAGAGTAAAATTAAAACAAATCCTTTTATTCGCTATATTTTAAATGCATTTAACAAACGTCAATATTTACTAATTAATTATGTGTCATTGAAAGTATAACTTTTAAGTATTATTTACAATTTGTTTTATACAATACGTAAATAAACACTTAGATTAATAATAAAACAAAATAAAAGTGATTACGACCAATACGACTAATTTGTTTTTGACTTATGGAAATTCCGACAATAAGAAGTACACAGTACACGATACGTACTTTGCGCGAGGTTAAATAAATGTACTTTAAAATGGGTACTTTTTTAACTAAATTGTTAACATTGAAAAGCGTCAACATGTAAATAGCGCGAACAAGTAGTTTAGTTGAAGTTGGAGTACTATTTTCTGGTTGAAGCATGGGTTCGTCGTCACGAGAGCATATATTTGCGATATTTTCTGGATCAGTGGTGGTTTTATTTTCTTTGTTTTCTATTTTATTTATAACAACGGCGGTGGGCGGAAAATGCAATGCAGTATAGTTTCATTTCTACTAAATAAAGTGGGTATGTTTTAGTGTCCTGCGGTGCAGCGCGGCGCAGCCTGACGTCACCAGCTTGTGTCACCACGGGTACTACAAAGTGTGACTAGGCTTCTCAACAATAAGGTATATTTCTTTGAAAGGCAAGAACTCTACAATATAGAACTTCTACAATATAGAACTTCGAATGTGTTAAATAAAGTGAATATTTCTTCTCACGGGAATATGCTGTGTGTGTGGTCGTGTTTTAAGCGATTATGTTTTTGACCCACATAGCTACAGATGCAACTAGATCACGTTTTAATACGGAAAAACGCTATAGTTTATTTTACATTACTTTAATACATTGTATTGTATGATTTTTATTCGTAATAATATATAAATTAAATTAAAAGTCCATTTTCTCATCTGAACAAGATTTTCAGGCCGCCATCTTGAATATTGTTTTACACAAACAGTAGACCTCATCGCCGTCAATGGCATTCTTTTGAGTAACCGTTACTCATTTCTAAGTTATGGAGAAAACAATTTTTTTTAACAGCTATTTTATTCGTTTGAATTTTTGTCGTTGATTCATTTTTCAAATTATCTACACTTAAAACATCTTGTACATTTCTCTTTACTTTGGAACGGATCCTCGTACAAAGCTATAAGTATTCTTCTCCCCATTTCGGGCAGTATGCTCTGCACTTTCATCAGTCAGTCCGCACTTCACATCGCTAATTTTGATCGAAACCAAAAATCTTTTCACACAGCTATTAATATAATATTCAGAATGTGCAAAATTATCTTGTGAATGAAGCATCGAGCTTGTTAAAATAATCAGGCCCGACGTTGAACAGGTATATGTTTTAGCCATTTTCCCTAATCTTTAGGTATTTATAAAAAGTGTTATTAGTGTGGTTATGAGATTTTATTTATGTAGATTTTACATAAAGCACGCATGAGAAGGTTCCGAGTTCGATTTGCGGCAGTACCAATTAGGGAAATGAACTTTTCTAAAATGGTTTTGGCCTAGGTGTTCTGGGTAGTGCCGCGGAGTGTATTTCGTAACTGTTGGTCCCGGGTTCGATTCCCGGTTGAACGAATTTAGGAAATTACCTTTTCTGAAATGGTTTTGGCCTAGGTGTTCTTTTGGTATTCATAGAAATTCGGCATTGGTTTGGCATTTTTTTCCCCTAAATACTTCTCTTTGGCATATCTTCCAAGAAAATGGAATCTAACAGAGAGACGGCTGAGATACAACAATGCTATAATAAGAATCTCATTTCCACTACATCAGTAAGTATGCCTTACATTTTTACAATTGTAAGATCTTGTACGCATAATTTATTACGCCTCCTTATAAAATTACCTCCATACATTAGCATGCGTACGCTTCGGACTTCGCCCTCCGCGACCCTCGCCCTACGGCCTTGGCGCTTATGACTTTGTTTTAAAGAAAATTAAATAAAATTGCAAAAATATATTTTGACCACTAATTTTTATCAAATAATCTTAGAGATCTTTTCGTACCAATATTCAGTCCGAACAAAGCAAGTTTTTTCAACAGCCATTTACATAAAAAATTACGGCTATATCGAAAAACGGCGGAAATAAAATTTTTACCCCAAATAAGGATTGGAGCCATGCCATTTTCAATCAAATTAGAAAAAAATTATCTACCTCCAAAAAAGTTTGTATGGCCGACATATTGAAAAATGGCGAAAAATAAATTTTGACCGCTAATTATCATCAATTACCTATAGAGACCCCCACATACCGATTTTCTGTTTAATTAGAGCTAATTTTATAAACGCTTGTATGGCGGCCATATTCATAATTGGCCAAAAACCATTTTGATCACAAATTATTATCAAGCACTTCTAGAGGCCTCTATATCCCAATTTTCAGCCGAATCAGAGCAAGTCTCTTCCAGCAGCTATTTTTAACGAAAAATAACGCACATATAGCAGCCAAACTAAAAAATGGCGAAAAAATCTTTTGTCCCCAAATTATGATTATAGACGCCATCAAGACGCATGTCAATTTTCAGCCGGATCGAAGCAAGTTTTTCTTCGCCCGCCATTTTGAATTCGCCATCTTGATTTTTTTTAATTCAGGCAGTTGACCAATATTACTCTCTATGACATTCCTTCGAGCACCTCCTACCTATCTCTAATATATGTTCTAATATATGTACATTATTATTACACATATGTATAATAATAATGGAGTCTGAGCCCGTATTTGTTCGGTT